GAATCTTCGTTTAAATCACCATAAAACTTATAAGCATATGTACTAAATAAAATTAAACTATTGTCAATTTCAGAATCAAATGGCCGCAGACATTTTTTGAATAAATTTTGATAGGAACAAGATAGAGATCCATGGTTCTCATCGCTGGAAAGAGCAGGTGAAGACGCATCGAGTTATATATAGAAAGATTTTTCTAGCTGCTTTCCTATAGGCTTTACATAAAACTTCAAGAAAAACAGCTTGCTTCTTATGATCATAATATTAATTTATTGATTTTCAGAAGTACGCTAGAATCGCCCAAAGAAGAGCTACAAAACTATAGAAACATCGTGCCTCTAACTAATATAAGTGTGATATCCAAACCATCGGAACACAATTTATCATCTCAGTTTTTTCAACAAAATAATCAAAGCATGTAAATTTTTTTAGTATTTTGATAGAAAAGTGACTTTCTTAACGTAGGAGAAAACAGCAATTCTTTGAAAACTTTTGTCTAAATCTTTAGAAAAGTAGCTAGAAAATCTTTCTATATATAATTCAATGCGCCTTCATCTGCACTTTCCAACGATGAGAACCATAGGTCTCTATCTCGTTCCTATCAAAAGTTATTCAAAAAACGCCCACGGCCATTTAATTCTGAGATGAACAACAGCATATATAATAAGGTGTGGATGTGTGGGTGTCAGTGTGGAGCGACATCCACACCCTTTTTCTTTGGCTTTTAACTTGATGTACTCTGATTCATACAGTTAAATAAAATTCAAGAATAAATTGTTATAGTAATTCGTATCACGACTTAACTGCAAGTAGCAGTCATCCTTCAGATTTGCTGACTCGTTCTCGGAAGAATTTCTGAGTTTGAGATGAGAGTGAGAGTCTTTTATAAGAAACTAAAAATGCTATACTCAAGTGAATTTTTGTCTGACTCTTTTATATATGCGGATTGATAGAGCATAAAAAGTAAAAAAAAGTATATTCGGAATCAGCGTGAAAAACTGTATCAAGCGAAAGAAAGTTTTCTTATGGAAACCTGACTCTTGAACGACTACGAGCAAAATTTAAGAAAAACAATACAGGAAAGAGTCCATAGGTTTATTTTTCATTGTAAGCATATTACATCTATACTCATTCAGCTTTCTTATTGTATTTCTTGCTAAACCGTTTGAATATTGCCATTTCGGCATCTTATTTTGTTTCATATTTATAAAAGAAAGAATTAATTCATATAGAATCTTTTTTATTGTTCATTATTTAAAAAGCTAAGACAAACAAATAAATGTTACACAAATATTCCTTTGATATAAATATTTGAATAAGAATTATAAACAGACGACGACTATATTTACTCAAAATAAAATTTAACATTTTATCTATTGAATGTGGAAAATAGTTAATAAATAGATATTTATTTAGTTTTTTTCTTTCAAAACAACATACAATAAAAACAAATAGTCTTTACATTTATTGATACTGTAAAATTGAACTTTTCCTCTAAGAAAAAGATTATGATTGTCGTACAAAAGTATTTTTTATACCAGTTAATTGCCGATTTTTGGTTAAAGTTGACATTTGATTCATTTCAGAACGAAATATATGCACACGAGTTCGATAGAGAACACAGCATTGTGAAATAAATTTTTCCACCCGATGTTTTATTGGCTAAATTTTCTTGAGCAATTCGAAGTGTATCTTTAACTAAGTTCATTGTAAATTATGCATAAATTTGATAGATTGTCTGTAATAAAGTATTAATAATAATCACAAGTACTTGAGCTACTAACATACGTAATAATTGATAATCTGTACGTCGAATAATTCTATTATATTCGCATAATACTAAAACAAGTTGACGACGTTTGCGTATATTGTTCATTGTAAGACAACCAAATAGAATCATTAAACAGGATGGAAAAAGTGAATAGAATGTCATATATAAAAATGATTTAAATGTACGATAAGTACTATTTTGAAAATTATATGAATATGAAATGGTTCCAAATCTATTCAATGTTTTTTGTATATTCAAATAAACCATCATATGCCTGCATAAAAGAAGAATTGTAATAATGATATTTTCAATTATTTTTTTACTTCTTTTAATGAACTGAACCGATGAATATTAATATTTGCTGAATTATGTAAATATCTGTCAATACAAGCCATTGCAATTAACCAACAAAATATTAAACGTACTGAGTAAAAAGCAAAAATTTTTATCTTACTAAGTTTAGCATTATAATGAAACATCTAGAAAGAATACGTACATGTATAATTACAAATACGAAAAATAAATTGAAAAATGTTGATAATAAAAAATAAAGTGAACATGGTTCATGACGTTAAATTTTGTCGAGTAAATACAATTACATTAAATATAAGACCAATTGAACCTATTGCAAATGCAATAGATAATAAAACGAGTGCAACTATTGATGTTGCTGAGTTTATTTAACTGATTGTAACGGAGATCGATGACATAATATTATTTAAATGACGAGTTTTTCAATATGTTTTCGTGATAAAAATCTAAATGTAACAAATACAATAAAAGACTATTTAGAAGAACGACATATCATCTAGATTTTTCATTTATAAATTTCATGTTAAGTTCTTAAAGTGATAGGATAAGGATTGAAATGCAAAAAAGAATATCTGTTGTCTAATAGGAAATAGTGTCAAACAAATAATTTCTATATTATATCTTGGGTGTAAATATCAAAATAAAGAAAGAAAGAACGTATAAGATAACATTTAATTAGACTTTCAAAGAAGACATTAATGCACTGATGAATAACGTAAGAAAATAAAATGTCTTTGGGATGCATTCAACTAATTAATAAATGTCAGCACAGATAGAACATGTCTAAAAAATAAAGTCTATATGAATTTTTACTTAAAAAAATTCAATTATATCATTAATGAATATAATGCGAATTTATCTTCAAATAAAAGTGCATAAAAGTTAATTTTGTTTGTTGAATCTCAATGATTGGGCTGGCACTTTACTTTTACTTTATAAAGTAAAGGTAAATAAATCGTTTATTCTCAAAAAATAAAGATAAATGTATTCTTTAATTTTCAAAAAAAAATAAATGTAAATCAATCAGTTATCTTTTAAAAATAATAGAATAAAGTATCCTTTTTACGACGACAGATAATATAATTAGAAGAGTACTAGCATCATGAAATAAATCTGCAGAGAGATTATTAAGATTTAAAAGTGTAAGTTTGATTTAAAATATATTTCCTAAGATGAAATTCAAAAATAATAGAAATGAACGTTTTATTTCTGACTTTTTTAGGGTACTAAGAAAAACTAAAAATCTTTTTTTTAAAACATTCTAATGTGATCCAAAGTTTTCTATGTGTGCAGACATCATTGTGAAGCTTTATTTCAGAATCATAAAATGTCTCCATCGGATCGATTATCACTCAATCTTCATATTTTTAAATAGAATTTCTTTATAATTTTGAATTTCACTTCTAATTATCTATAATCTTACCCTATATGCTCTATATTTTTCTATCTTCCGCCAAAATAGGTAGTTAATAGAATTTATAGAACGATTATTTCTAAATAAATATCAAAGAGATGATATTATTGTCACAAGGAGCAAATATTTTTCCCAGTTACTAGAAAACATCTTAATAATACACACACGAAAATTAGAAAGACTTAAAATAGGAAAACAAAAACAGAAAATAACATGCACATAAACTGTAATGAAGATAGTTTTTTGTATGAGTTAATTCTAAGTGTATTCACATGAAAAACAGCTTCTTTTGGCATGCACTATTTGCCACTGATATATTTATTCTCTATAGTATATCGAAATGCAAATTTAACGTGATAATTTCGATAGAAAGTAGACTAGCTTAATAATAGTAAAGACTTATGTTTTATTTCCAAAAATTTTTATACAAACTTCAAATTCAAATATAGTTCTCTAAGTGTTTAGAAAAAAAAAAGCTGAATTTATATTCACGAATCAAAGAAAAGTCAAGGCACATTATGAGAATTAAAACGTTTCTAAAGAACAACCATCTACAAAGCAACTGATTTACTTTACATTAGGTAGTAGGGCACGATACATATGTTAACTCTCCATATCTGTATTTCATTGAAGAGTTTTTTATGAAATAAAGTATTAGATCATTGGAAAAAGTTCGCGAAAGATAATTTTTGAAGAATGTCAATTCTATGAGTATTGTTTGAATGATCGAAGACTTTAATTAAGAAAAGAAACTGTACAGTTAAAAACACATACAAGGAGTTGACTTTTGCATCCTTTTCTACACACTAGGAAACAGACAAATTGATCAAACCTAGGGAAATGATTCGGTTATTGTATTTTAATTTATGTTGTCTTCTATTCATACGTATGGACTGGAGTTTTCTTAAAGTATTTTCAAACAAAAAAAAAACGTAGAAATAGTGGACAATTATAAGACTAGTTCATGTTATATTAAATGTTATATGCTAAATTCTTATTTACATGTTTTATAAACAATGTATGTACTATATCAATAAATATACCAGTAATTCTATTTTTCTTACGAAAGATAATTTTTATCTTTTTAACAAAATAAAATATATGAGTGTAGTTGATGATAGAGAAGACCGCTGTTTACGATGAACATATTCAAAACAGAGAAATTTGTTTCACATACAACTCACCACGCTGGAATAACACTGTATAACGCTTTATAAAAAGAGGAAAAATAAATCCTACCAGCGCTCTAACAACAGTATTTGTATCAAGAACATATTTGATTATAAATATTCATCTTCCTAAATATATGTAATCTACTCAAAAAGACTGATTATTTTAATTTTTTATGATGGTCACAACAAAAAAACAAACAAAACAAACTATCTGCAATACGATTCCCATAATAAAAATAAATAAGACATTTTCTATTGAACAAACAGCAGAAGCAGTTTTTATGCATCATAAAATCCATATTAAACAACAAATGCGTTTAAAGAATTAACTATCGCTGATTTTGTTTTCAAGGTGATTTTATCAATACTTTCATAGTGCGAATTCTCATAGAAAGAGAAAAAATGATAGTTTATATGCGATCCGTTGCAATCTGAAAAGCAACTAGTGATAAAATTAAAACAAATACCACATGATCCAAAGAAATTTTTGTTTTCATTTCACATAAAGCCACATAATAGATAATATAATAGCCATTTTGAATTTGTTTACTTCAGTTTCATTGTATATTGTTCTCGTCAAATTGTATAGGAAAATGCTCAACCAGATATCCTAATTTTTAACTAGTGCTTGAGTTAGTTTTCCTTGATTATTCTCAGTTTGACTTGGATATTTTTTTAACGTTTTAAGAACAAAATTTCAATAAGTTATATGAAGAAACAACGAGATAGAAATCCAGTAGATATATAGTAAATAAGTATGTAGGGTTGGATAGAGTACATACAAATGTACATTTGAATTCAAGAGTAGAAAACGACCGCCATTGTATCTCACACTTTATCTAGATTCTTACTTTGCCGTGTGTTCCACTAAAAAATATATCTTATTTCCTTATATATTTATTCAAGGTCTCTTCTTTTAATATATAGACTATCACAATCACTAGTAAGTTACTGATAGTTTTAGTTCAACTAACCAGCAGAATTTTCTCATACGACCGTCAGTAATTGGGTGTGGGTCTGTACGTGTGGGTGTAGATGTGTATAGAGAAACCACACCCACACCCTATGTTCATTTAAATCACAAGCATTTGAGTATAAAGATTCATACAGATAGTTCTACCAGTACTAGTTATTACGCCTTCGTTTACTAGAAAATGAAACATATATCAACCAACACAGAAATAATTCCTAAGCTATCGATTGATGCAGTCTTCCTATCTCAACAAATGATCTATAGTAAGTATGGATGAGGATACGAAGGTCTTCTCTTCGTCAACATTATGTCCATTTACACCACACTCACACGCAAACCGATACCTTAAGGATACATGGCAGTTTTAGCATCATAGATTATGTGTCGAGAGACAATAGCTAATCTAATTGATAATCCGATATAGCCTGTATCGATTAATTCGTCTTTGACACCAGCAAATGACTTGATAGGTCGTGCAAAGGGCTGTTCATATTTCACTATAAATTCTGAAATATTCTTGCCAGTGCTTTCAGCTTTCCTTACCGATTGATCGTTATTTAATTCTTTTTCTTTTTATTAATAATCAATTAGGTATTGACATACAAGAAAAGAGTGACAAATTCATTACCAATTTGAACAGAAAAACAAAAGATTTTATTCAATAACGAAATAAATAATGATTAGATTTTTTTCTGTTTTATCGAGTTTTACAAACATTAATTTTATTTGAGATATATTCTTAAATAACTATAAAATATTTTTTTCTTTTCATAAAGACTTTTAATTAAAAGAAGTTTTAAAAAATTTTTATTCAAAATAAATGAAACCAAATCACTCGAAATTATTTACAATAATTCTCTCCTTTTTTTTTGAAAATCAAATTTTGATGAGTCTATTTTTTCATTGTATTTATTTTCCCATTTAAAAAAAATCACCTGAAAAATATTGGATAGTTAAGTAAGACAATTTGAAATCTTTAAAAGTCTCGCTATTCACATTCGTTTCTTTTGAAAATCCGAAAACTTCTAATCGATTTCGAAATGAATCAACTGTTCAATTTTTATTCTTTTTCTTTTAAGAAGTTTATTTTTCAAAAAAAAGCAAGCGAGACTAGAAAAACTGGGGTATTGATTTCTTTATTAAAATTCTTTTTTATGTCAATTATATGTTTCAAAGTTTCACTCTGTTGTTCAATCAATCTACTATTTGAAAAAAAAAGAAAAATTCAGTTGCATATGTATGAATTAATTCATTGTTTTGGTTCTTGAAAAACTTGCAGACAATCAAGAAATGAAAAAAGTCTTCAAATTTAATGGATTTTTTTCTTTCTTATAAGATTCCGACAATTCTAAATTTAGGCAAAATTTTCTTTGTGGACTTTATTTTTATGTTTGAGTATCTGGTCGAGTAAGTTTGAAAGATACTTCTATTGAAAAATTCGAATATGATTTTTGTAGTAAAAAATAGGAAAATTAAGTTTAAAAAAGAATAAAAAAAAGTCTAGAAAAACTGGAACACGCCATAGGAATCAAAGTCTCGCTCGGCTCGATATTTATCCAATTTTATCTCTACGTTTCTCTCGTCATATGGTCACGAAAAATTTTATGTACTCTTTGATTGTTGAGAAAATCGATATTTTCGATATCATGGCAAAATATTACAAATACAGATTCATATCGAGACAGTTTGATTATGAGAATTTTTGTTTCAAATGAAACTAACCTAATGTTTACCATCAACTAACACATCTACATCGAATAGTATCCTAATACTTAAAATAAGGTTTTATCAAATTTTGATCTTAGGAAAAGGGTATTAATCATGTATGCTCTGACGTATTCTGAGCCATTGCGAACCAAAAATTGGAATTAAAAGAAGTCAATATTCTTTTTGTCCACTTTGAACAAATCTGAACTACGTTGAATCATTCCAAGTTCCTATATCTAGGAGTCATTTTAGCTAAGTATAGACTATCTTCAGCATAATGTTGCATAATGGATGTTACCTATTTGGATAATATTTATAAAATAGATAGATATATTTGAATTAGGAGTAAACTCAAACTTTCAGCTCAAAAGAATCAGACAACTCAGAAAATATCGACGTTGCAAGGTTAGCTACTTTACCAAGTTTGAAACATCTTTTTTTGTTATAGCTTTCAGTGAAGTTTCATTTTCTAAACAACAATAAGAGTTATAGAAGAGTTTTTTTTACTATAAATACTATTAGTGATGAACTATCGTTTCATACTAATGAAAGTACCTTATTATCTAATATTTTTTCGATCAGATTCCATAGGATGTGGGTGTGGGTGTGGCTCTTCTCTTTTCGCATTCACACCCCCACCCACACTTATACCTACATTCGCAAAGAAATGTAACCTATTATGAAGTAAGAAAACGTTATGTGGGATAATCAATACATCATTTTGAGTTCTAGTTACAAATGATGTCAAGAAAACAGCAAAACGTATTGTGCTAACGTCAGAATACTAATGTTTAAAAAGAAAATCTTTAGAAATAGCCATTCTAAAAGTCATCAATTACAATATTTGGGATATTCGCACCATAAACTCCGATTTTTGCGAGGCATCGCAAATATATTAATAACGTTCCACATCAAATTAATAATTTAACTTAACTTGTTTTAAAGATTTTCTTTTTGCACATTTGTGCAATCTGTTTTGCTATTTTTTGACATTGTTTGTAAGTAGGACTCAAAATTATGTATTGATTCTTCCACATAACATTTGCTCATTTCATAATTTGTTGCATTTCTTTACTAAAGTCATTTGTAACATTTTAAATCAGTATTTATTCATCTTATTCGAATAAGAAAGATTATAAATCAGTCTCTTTTATTCGTCAAAATTTCAGCTAGTTTGATCAACGTTAGGGAGATTTTAGTACGCTATGTAATCAATCGAACCAATAAACGGTGAACACAGTTCAATTTTTTAATAATTTTGTGAGTCGTTGGATCCATTGCTGATGTACATTCTAGTTGAATATCTAGAGCGAGCTCGTAGTTTTGATATGCTTCGGAAAAGTTTCTTGTCTTGCAATGGACATCACCAATAAGAGCATAAATATCAACGAGAAAACTATTTCGAGATTTAATCGAAGTTTCATCTTTTGCTAAATTTGCTGAGGCAAAAGATTCAAATAAAATTTCTAGAGCACATTCGTAACTCTTAAGTGCTTCTCTGAATTTTTGTTGCCGTAAGAGAATCCTACCAATCATAGTATGTGTCTCAGCAATATCCAAATGATCAGCTGGTAGTGAAGCCGCTTGAATAACTAACGCTCTTTCAAAATTTGACAAGGCTTCCTCATTTCGTTGTAAAGAGACTTGAAGATCACCCAGCCTGGTGTGAAGTTTCGCAATCGCTAAATCAGTTGGTGGCAGATATTGGAGTCGAGCCTTCATTGTGTGTTGCAAGTGTTCAAGTGTCCCACATAGGTCTCCTTGCTTGTACAGAAGATTAGAAATGCTTTCATAGGCATAAGCAAGATGCGTATTTACGAAGATGTTGGATACTTCAAGAAGTGCTGAATTCGTTGATGATAAGTATCGCTGTAAAATACTCAAAGCACGTCCATAATGGTTAAGTGCCTCAGAAAATTTTTTCTCTTTCTTCAATAGATCACCGATATGAGCGTAAGTTGGAGCCAGATGAGGATGATCTGAAGAAAGTGAGTTCATTTGAAACTCCAAAAAGCGTTGGAAATGTTCTAGATTGTCGTTAAGTGAATATACCGAAAAATATTTCTTCCGAATAATCACGTAACTAAAACTGTCGATATTGGAAAGGAAGGGACTGATAGTAGGATGCATAACTTGATACTGTTTTCTACATATGAACAATGCTCTTTCGTAATGGTTCATGGCAACATAAGTATTGATCAAATTGTCCATATTCTTGGCAACCTGTTGGCTCGTCGAAGATGCACATTCAAGTCGAAAATCTAAAGCATTCTGGAAGTTTTGAAGTGCACAAGGAAAATTACTTAATTTTGTATGATTGGTGCCAATACGACTATATATATCAGCAAGAAAATGTTTGCAATGCTCAATATCGTCTTTACTTGTCTCTAGATTTTCTGATGACCGAGCTTGATTAAAAATCTTCAAAGCCGACTCATAGTAGTCCAGTGCTTCCGCCAGTTTCTGTTGTTCTTGGAGAATGTAGCCTATCGTTTTGTGAGTTTCAGCTAGATCAGGATGATACAATGGAAGCAGACTAGTCTGAATAGACAAGCACATTTGCAAATTTGACAATGCCTCATCGAATTGATGTAAGAGAATGTATTCGATACCTAGGTACCAGTAGTCTTTGGCAATTTCAGGATCCGTTTTTGATGAATATTTAAGTCGAATCTGTAGAGCACGTTGAAAGTTGCGAAGTGCGTCGTAATGCATATTCTCAATGCTAAGACTACAACCAAGTCTTCTGTAGGTATTGCTAAGATTCGGATAGTCCGCAGACGACGAACGCGCTTCAAAGTCTAAAAACTGTTGCCATTTCATCAACGCATCTGACTGCTGGTAGTTGTTAAATAAATATCCTAGTATAAATGATCTACTTGATTCTTCTATTTCTGACAATGGCATTTCTGAATGCTCAATCTTAAATCTTGATTTGACTGCGAACAGTGCTCTTTCATAGTCATTCAATTCGATGTGAGCCATTGCCATGCGTGCCCAAATGTCTCCTATCGAGGGACCCGTTGATGACGTAACTTGAAGTCGAAAATCCATAGCGAGTTGATAGTTTTCAAGTGCATCAGAATATTTTTGCAGCTTGAAACACACATTTCCGATTTGTGTGTAAACAATAGCAAAATGCAACGGGTTGATAGGTGAACAATTCTTCCTAATTTTAAGAGACTCTTGAAAGTGCGAAAAAGCTTTTTCAATTTTTTGTTGGTCTTCGTAAAGATATCCAATTAAGAGGTAACCATCAGCAATCAGAGCCAATGGAAACGGCCATTCTGTCAAGTTCATCTCTAAGCATTTCGTATATTGGAGTGAAGCTTGATCAGGATTTCCCATCTGAGAATGTAAAAATCCTATGGACCTCCGAGTACGTGCAATATTTGGGTCTGTTGGTGATAAAGATTCTAGTTGAATTTGCAGAGCCGCTTCATAGTGTATAAGTGCATCGGAAAACTTTCCCAATTGTTGAAAACTCATAGCAATACCTTTGTAAGCGCAAATCAAATTGTCTGTACGTGTTGGGTGGTATAATTGTATAATATTTAGTGACTCTTGAAAACTAGCCAAGGCATTGTCGTACTTTTCCTGTGTTAAGTAATTATGTCCGATAAACCAATGAGTGTTTTGAATGTCAATATAGTTTATGGATAGAGAAGATTTTTGAATTTCGAGGCACTTTTCAAAACTGACTAACGCATTTTCATATTGTTCGCAGTCTTCGTAATAGAAACCTTGCTTTCTATATGTGTTGGCGATGCTCTTCAAGCGAGTATTGTTGAAAGCGTTGACATCCTCTCTTAAAATACATGTTGGCCTATCTATGTGTCTTTCCCATACAGCGAATGCCTCATCAAACATGTTCTGTCGTGCATAGATGCCGGCGATTTGTTGTAACACCTTCGCCACATTTGGATATGACTCATCAATATTTTCCATTAAGGCTTCATAGGCTTTGTTGTAAGAATCTATGGCTTCTGCTAATTCTTGTCTTCGACGATGGCACTCCGCTTTCATCATATACAGATGAAACCATTGGATTCGATTCAGTAGAGAAGTTTTTCCTTGTTCTATTTCAATATATTCATTGATGTTAGATAACGCATCGTCAATCTTATTTATTCGAAAATATGTAAGACTTCTTATTAATAATGAATTCTGATCGTTTACTATTTCGGATTGTAATTGTGTCAAAATCGTCTCCAAAGATTCTTTTTGGGATTCAGAATGAAAATTATCACCGTGTGAAAAGTTGTAGTATTCAGCTGCCAGTTCAGTCACTCTTCTGTGCGGGTGTTCTGGTGGTAGAGAACGCCCTCGAATTTTGACAACCTCTTTTAATATGACAGATGCTTCATCTGCATGACCTTTAAAGACCTTCATCGCCGCAATTAGATGAAGGCATTGCGCAAGTGCTGGATGTGTGCTTGGTATGCTACTTTTGAGAAGTTGATGCGCCTTGGTCGCATAGGAAAGAGCATCGGATAAATGTCCTTGGTGAAAACGGACAGTACTTATCAACATGTAACATGTTCCCAACATTTCTGGTTTCCAGTTTAAACCTTCAGACGTTATTATGTCATAGATTGCTTCAAGATTTTCTACAGCAAGATCCCATTTACCCTGCATCCAACAGAGCATAGCTTCACGATAACTAGTTATTATAGTATTTCCTGAAATAGTAGATCGTTCATCTGAAAAATCACATACTGATTGTAATTGAACAGCTGTGTCTTCTCTCTTTCCTTGTTCCAAAGCGATGCCTGCCAATGTGATGGATAAGATTGGTTTCAACTCTTGAGAAATCGTTGGAATCATTAACTGACCGATCTTTTTGGCCTCTTCGTATTTACCCCACATAGCCATAAGTAGAATAAAAGACAATTCATCCGGAGTCTCTTTCTGTGATCGGATGAAACTAGTGAGTCGTGTTAGTTCCACATCGTTATCATCGGTTAATAGTAATTTGATGCGCGAAATATTACCGTCATTGAGAGGTTCAATCGATTGGATACGAAATACACTGCCCATTGTAAAAAGAAACTCGTCTTCGTCTTTGAATTGACTCTTATCCTTTACATCGACATAATAGGCAGGAGTAGATATTGAGTGATCTACATTGATTTCGAAGATCACTGAAGTCATTTGAGGAAAGCTACCTAGAGCTCCACCGTACATCATGGCAACCTCATTATTAGCTGTGGTAGATAGAAAACAATTGAAAGACAATAGTCTCCCCGATTTTATCTTCATTTTATCAAAAATAGCTGTGGATACGTTCATACCGCGATAAAGTTTCAAAATCGTCGATTCTTTTGATTTCATATGGGAGCGAACAATTTGCTGATGAAGATCTTTGATGAAGACACGTATTCCATACAAATAGACAATATCATATTCACGTAATGCTTTATTTAAGTCACTGTAGAGAAACCAATCTTTCGTATACCATTGAATAGGATCCACTTGATCATAGCGGCATTGAAATTCATGAATTTTATCAATATCCTTCGGATTCTGATATTTACTACGAAGAAAGTCAAACATTTGATTCCGATCACTTTCTGAATAAGTCATTTCTGTTAACATGTGTTTGAGCAGTTGGCCATACATAAACATGACGTCCTGCTGGTTTTCTGGATTGGCATCTGTCAGTGAAGTAGGAACATTGCTCATAAAATTGAATTCAACACCATCATTGTGTTTGTATGCCTCCAGCATCCGATATATTGATGTGACACTACTAATAATACCCATAACTTTGTTGTATTTCTCCATCCAAGACACATTCGCTAATCGATTAGAAGAAAATATAAAAATCGCTTTGAGTTGTTTGTCCTCATGAAGTATTGACAGAATTTTTTCAGCAGCAGATTCACTAACTATCAGCAAAATTTGACAGTCTTGACCATCAGTAATGAAATCGACACATTCGTCCACATTACCGAATATTTCAACAATATTCACCATCCGCTCAAGTTCTGTTTTTGCCTTCTCTATATCGTCGATTCTTGCAAGATCATTTTCATCAAGCCAGATTGAAACGCAAATTTCTTGTTCAAAACATAAGATCTGCTTCTCATTAGAAATTCCTTTCGATTCAGACGATAACATCTCGTAGTCGAGTACTGATTATGTGACCAACAAGACACAATAATTGTTACGCGGAGCTTTATGATGAGACGTCAACAAATTTTAATAATTATTAACTGTTGAAATAACTGAAATTATTCAAACTCTTGAAGTCGTATTTTTATAATGGACAATCTCTTGTTCTAACTGAAATGGAATCAAATGTCATCAAAAGTAATGTAAAAAACTATATAAGGAAAGAAAAAAAACAGAATGTGCACACAAGTTGATGACATAGAGCGAAAAAAAGAATTTCGACTAACTGAAACATGCCGTAAGAACAAGAAAAAACAATATTATATGCGAGCCATCATTCACAAAGATGAAGAGTAAACAACAAGTTTTCGCGGATAGTGAGAGTGACGATGGTGGGTGTGAGTGCGAGGGGTTACTGGAAGATCGCCAATTCGGACTTTCACCAATAGGGCATTCGCTAATTGCGAAAGTACAGCGGGCGTTCGCCAATTGACGAAAGTATAGTGAAGTTTTGTCAAACGTCACAAAATAATATTAATACGGGATATATGTAAGGGCTATAGCTAATACTGTTAGAATATATACTATAGCTTACCTTTAGAGTATATTCATATATGAAGGAGTCATGCTTTTAATAAGAAAAAAGCGAGATTAATATGAAGAAAAAGGCAAATAGAGGGTGTGGGTGTGGGGTGTGGGTGGGGGTGTGGGTGGGGGGGGGGGGGGGGGGGGGGGGGTGGGTGGGGTGGTGGTGTGGGTGTGGGTGGGGGTGTG